TAATAATAATAATAATAATAATAATAATAATAATAATAATAATAATATAACTGTATGCTTTTTTTAAAAAAAAACCTAATTATTATGAATGTCCTGTTCCTGTCCAGCCTCCCCCAACCCTCTCCCCAAATTTATTTACAATCTGGGGCTGCTCAATTAAACCTGGATTTTCCAAAGAGGTCCAGGCCGGTTTCCTTCTCTGCCTCCTCCTCCCCGCGCCCCCCCAATAAGACCAGTTCAGGACACCCCCTGCCACTCCCAGGACAAGCCCAACAGAGGGGAAGGGGGAAATCTCCCCAGGTCCCGTTGCAGCCAGGGGGTGGACTTCAAACATTTTAACAACCGGTTCTCGGCCTGGTGGCTGGCTGGGAGTGGCCACGGTGGGCCTGGCCTACTCGGCCTCCTGCACCACGGCTGGAGGGAGGTGGGTTTTTTTTTTCACCCTCCGTGGGCTCCGGAGGCTTTCCTTGAGCCTCCAGGAGGGCGAGAACCTCCTTCCCGGACTCCGGAGGCTCTCCGGAAACGGGCCCATTTCCAGCCTTCCCAAGCTTCCGAGGGGCCCGTTTTCTGCCGTCCTCGAGCCACTGTGCAGGCACTGGACTGATCTGGGATCCAACATGGGTGCGTGGGGACTCCCGGGGTGGGCGCAGCGAGGGGTGGGATTCGCCGGTTCACCGAACCAGCCGTAAAATTAACAACCGGTTGGGAACCGGGTCGCTCGAACCAGTGCAAACCGGGAGCAGCCCACCCTTGCTTGCCTCCCCTGCCCAATCTGCCCCAAATTGGGGGGGAGGGGGGGCAGAGTGCCCAGCCAGGGCTCTATCTATGGGCCCCTCCCAGCTCAGTCGATTCACCCTGGAAGCCCAAGCCAAGAGGGGGGAGGGTTCTCCTAAATTATTTTCTCCCCACCACCACCACCGCGCCAGCATTAATCTTTGCTCATCCGGCCCCCCCCCATGCCCAAAAAATGGATTCTCCCATTCGGTTAAAACTATTCCTTGAATCTTAGCGCCATTTTAAGATGGCTGGACTTCAACTCCCAGAATTCCCCAGCCAGTTGAAGTCCAGCCATCTTAAAATGGCCGAGGTGGAGAATTACTGGCTTAACACCACGAAAGCTGCTTTTTTATTCCCACTTTGGCTCCCTCCTCCCCCGAAAGCATCAATCCCTCGATTAATCTTCTTTCTGGTCCTTATTAGTACTAATCCGGGTCATTAATGAATTTGGGTGCCGCAGAGCGTCTGCCGGGATAATCCCAGCTCCGTTTGTTATCGGAAACGACACAAGAGACCCTCCAGAGATCACACTTGGTCATCACGCACATATACAAATGCACACACACGCACAAACACAAACACGCACACTGAACACCGACCCACAGAGAACCCTTCAAGGCAAAAAAAAAAAAAGAGAGAGATTTTTGCTTGCAAAAATAAAAAACAAAGAAGGGAGTGTTTTGGTTTGGATGGTAAACAAACACACACACCATCATCCTGGGCCCTCCACGGCCCTCTTTAATTCCCAGGCTGGGAATCATAGGACATGTTATAAAGGCCGACCCCCCCCTTTCTGCTCCAGGCCGCGAAAGCTATTTCAAAAATGAGGCGTCGCGTCACCTACTGGCATTTTGTGGTCGGGAATGTTCCCAACAAAAGGGTCTTTTAAGAGGCCGGGTGGCGATTTAAGGCCTCCGTGTGAATTTGCAGGTGAGGTGTGTGGGGTTTTTCTTTTTGGCCACTGGGTGAAAAAAATAAATAATATATTGTCATCTTTTTTAAAGAGCCAGCTTAAGGCAGGGGATGCTCCCAAGCGTGCAAAATTTGCACGCCACTTTGGCGGGTGGGACCGGCGGAAGGCGAATCCCTGGATTTTTGCACCCGGTCAGTGAGGTCCCCCGTTTGCCAAGCGGGGCCTGCAAACCCCACTTTCCCCTTTCCACTCCCCCACAACACCCACCTCCATCTCTACGACACAAAGAAACACCGAAAAAGCCACAGCAAAGATGGGGAGGGGGGAATCCTGCGCAAGCCCCCCCCCCCCACAAAACAGACACCTCACAGAGAAACACAGCTTGGCACAGAGCGGACCCCCCCTCGGCCAACCTTCCCTGGGCAGACGCAGCAACTCCAGGGGGAGGGCCCCCACCTGGAGCCAGGGGACCCCCCTCCAGCTAGACCAGAGCGTAGTCAAACTGGCCACGCTCCAGCCCTTCCTTGTGGTCAGTCCAGGACGAGGCCGGCATGCGGCTGTAAGGGTCCAGCAAGATACGGAAGCATCGCACCATGAGCATCACGAGGAAGATGAGGAGGAAGATGACGAAGGCAAAGACGGTTTTCTGCTCGGCGTCCATGCCCGGGGTCCCGGGGCTGGACTCCCCCTGCCCGGGAGACAGCAGTTCATAATCCAGGGTCGAGACGTCGTCCATCACAGCAGCGACGGAAACCCACCGCGAGGCTGAAGGTGCCGGGAGAGAAAAAGCGGAGGCGATGGTGGAACCTGGCCAGTCAGGCAGCCCCCATTCTTCCTGCGGGAGCTAGGCCGTGGTGGGCAGCGGGGGAGGGCCGGCGGGGCCACAGCCGTGGGCTTCAGGCACCTAGAAAAGAAGTAGAGGGGAGAGAAGGTCCCCCCCAACCATTTTGCCTCCGACGAGCAGCATGGATGCCCGGGGGAAACTCTGAGGGGTGAGGATCTGCAGCTGCTCAGCCGGCTGCACAATTGTTGGGTCTTTATCTACCATATCCATCCATCCATCCATCCATCATCTCTATCTTTATCTACTGTAATCTATATCTGTCTCTCTCTCTCTCATCTCTCTCTTATCTATCTATCTATCTATCTATCTATCTATCTATCTATCTATCTCTATCTATCTATCTATCTATCTATCTATCTATCATCTATCTATCTATCTATCTATCTATCTCTATCTATCTATCTATCTATCTATCTATCTATCTATCTATCTATATCTATCTATATCTATCTATCTATCTATCTATCTATCTATCTATCTATCTATCTATCTATAATCTATCTATCTATCTATCTATCTATCTATCTGAAGTTGTATTTCCTGCAATCAAGTTTGGTGCGATTAACCTTGAGTTTGTATCTATTATTTCCTCTTGTATTGTTATGGTTGAAGCTGAAGTATTCATTGACAGGTAGGATATTGCAATATATGGTTTTATATACTATACTTAGATCAGACCGAAGGCGGCGTAGTTCAAGGTTTTCTAGGTCTCGAATTTCAAGTCTGGTGGCAGAAGGTATTCTACAACGAGTAGAGGAGTGGAGAACTCTTCTTGTGAAATATTTCTGGACTTTCTCAACTGTGTTAATATCAAATATATAATGTGGGTTCCAGACTGATGAGCAGCTATATTCGAGTATTGGTATAGCAAATGTTTTGTATGCTCTAGTTAATAGTGTAATATTACCAGAGAAAAAGCTACGTAGGATTAGGTTAACAACTCTTAATGCCTTTTTGGCTAGGTAGCTACAATGGGCTCTAGCACTTAGATCATTAGAGATGAGTATTCCAAGATCCTTGACAAGAGTTTGGATCATCAACAAGGTCTTGACTATTCAGCCTGTATTTTATTTTCTGATTTTTTTTGCCAATATGTAGGACAGAGCATTTATTTGTTGAGATTTGAAGTTGCCATTTCTTTGACCATTCTGATACATAGTCGAGGTCTTTTTGAAACGTAGCTGTATTGTCTGTGGTGTTGAATAGCTTTACATTGTCAGCAAAGAGAACTCAGTTGCTCTTAGTATGATCACAGAGGTCATTTATGTAGCGTATGAAGAGAGTTGGTCCTAGAACACTGCCTTGGGGGACACCACTATTGACAGGTATAGAATTTGACAGGACACTCCCAATTTTGACCATTTGTTGTCTGTTTGACAGGAATGCTTCTATCCAGCTATGTAGGTGTCCAGAGATACCATAAGATTTTAGTTTTAGGAGTAGTTTGTCATGTACCACTGAATCAAAGTCTGTGTAGATTGCGTCTATTGCTTTGCCCTGATCGAGTTGTGTAGTCCATATGTTTTTGCTGTGTAAGAGTTGCAGATTGCAGGATAGTTTTTTTCTGAAACCAAATTGTTTATTAGAGAGTAGGTTATTTGTCTCTAAGTGGAGGATCTACCATCTTCTATTTGTCATCTATGTATATCTATCATATATTTATCTACCTATAATCTATCTATCTATCTTATTTATCATTGATCTCTCTGTCTTTCTCTGTCTACCTATCTACCATCTTCTATCTATATCTACCAATCTACCTACCTATTTATCTATCTTTATCTACCTTATCTATCATCTATCTATCTGTCTCTGTCTGTCTATCTATCTACCATCTATTTATCTATCTACCATTTATCTATCTTCTATCTTTTACCTACCTACCTATCATTTACTTACCTACCTACCTCTATCTATCTCTGTATCTGTACCTCTAACTGTCTGTCTGTCTGTCTGTCTGTCTGTCTATCTATCTATCTATCTATCTATCTATCTATCTATCTATCTACCTCTCTCTCTATCACTTTTGCTCTATCATCTACCTACCTCTATCTATCATGTCTCTCTATCATCTACCTACCTACCTACCTCTATCTATCCATCTCTGTATTGCTCTCTCTTTCTCTCTGTCTTTGACTTCTGACACTGGGGAAGACAGTGGGAAACGTCACAAGTCATGGTTCACACGATCTCCTGTTACACAACTCCAGCGATTCGCTTAAGGACCACAGCGAGTGCAAGGATTGCTCGCAAGTCACTTTTTTTTTCAATGCTGCAGTCATTCAATGAACCCATT